GTGTGTATCACTAACCAACTAACACTATGTGAGGGCTTTTTTTTATAGTAGTCTATCTTTAGGAATGCTTAGAGTATTTAACATTAATCATGAAATGTAGTTTATGAAGTATATTTCAATTCATCGCCTCATTTGACTTTTAACATTGTTATTATTTGGAAGATGATCATTATCTCTACAGAGAGGGAAAATGGGCTAGAGAGGCTTGCCACAAGAAGTTGTTCAGCTTCCAAACCATTTAACTGGGAAATTGCTGAACGAATCTTGAGTCCAGGTCTTCTTGACTCAAAACCTCAAGCTGTTACCCACACCAAATAAAATACTTCTTTACAAGGAGTGTTTGTGGATTTGTGTATATGTGATCTATCTTTCTCCAAATTCCCTAGTCATTCACAAGGTATTTATTGACTATTATGAATATACCATGAATATCTAGTTGATCTCCTGTGTAAATATGTACACTAAGTTTTGTTCACTATTCCCAGTGTTTGGAGCTAAGAAACAGAATTTTGTTTTATAAGACCCACTGAAATGCCTTTTTAAAAAAATCTTTTGATTAGGATTCCACAGGCAAAGACTGACATTAAAAAGCTGTTAACTCTGTTAACTCCAGAGGGCACAGCTAATGAAATATCCCAAAAGCTGAACATTTGCCAAGATACCACATCGTGTAGGACAGCTCTCGATTAATCACAATGAGAGTATTTCCTCTATCTAAATGAAATCTCTAATTTGGGATAGAGATTAAAGATCCTTTGGGGAATGAATGGAAAGTTACTCTGAAAATTCTCAACACTCAAAAATAAAGATAGGTCTACTAAATATTCATGAAGTCAGACTGGTGGTACGAATAGATTGCCGTCTCTTGTTTCCTAATGACTTGGCTTGTAGCACGCCTGTATCAGTCTTACACATATTTCCATATAACATTAAAGGGAATTACTGAAGATTGTGAAGCCTTTTTGAAAAAGAAAATTTATCATATCAAATATGATATTTTGCCATCACTAATTTTTAATTACATAATGTACAAAATCAGAAATGCATAGATTTAAAAAGATGATATAACATGCACTAGCTAAATATATGTAATTGAATTTTTACTACACTGGATAAACATATTTTCAAAAGGCAGTTTAAGTATTATTTCATATTTAATTATGCTTACTTAAGAGAGACATCACATTTCTCTAGCAAACTGATTTTTTAAATAAATGGTACAAATTTTAACTTTTACCTACTTCAATAGCACTCTCTTCCTCATTCACAGCACAAATCCTAGCTCCTATATTGTTATACACAGTTTAAGAGAAAATTAATGTAAACTCTATGAATGCTTGATTTATGCCATTATGTGATAATGTTATAGACACTTGTAGTGAAGGAAGATATGGAAACTCCACCATTTTATTTCTGTCTCCAGGAGCTGCCACAGGGCAGGTTCCAGACTTTATGAAATGCTTGTTCATCTCTTTGTTAAATACAATAAGAGTACTGGTCTCTGAATATATTATTTCATGTTTAAAATTATTTTGGGTGGCTGGAGAGATGGCTGCTCTTGCAGAAGACCTGGTTCCCAGCACCCCCATGGCAGTTAACAATCATCCATAACTCCAGTTCTAGGGGAGCCAACACCCTTTTCTGACCTCCAAGGACACTGCATGACACAGGTACACTTACATGTAGGCAGTATACTCACACACATAAAATAATAAATAAAATATTTTAAAATATTTTTCTGTTTCTCTTTTTAGGCTAGCCCTGCTCCTATAATTGTGAACACAGATACTTTGGACACAATACCTTATGTAAGTAATATTTTATATACTTTCTTTTAACACTCTGAGTTTAGTAATCGTTTAGCTGAATTTAATAGTATGCAATCAGTTCTATCCAATCTAAATAATCTGATAAAATGATATGTATAATTGGTTCCGTAAGTTTTCTTTTGATACTTGCTAAATCTTGGCTTTACTCATGCAAGTATTTCCCTCTTTCATTTGGATTTTGTAAAGCACAAGACCCATCATGAGGGGGACAAAACCATAGAAGCACAGAAGAGTCTGTTTAAATATGTTCATTTGCTAGGTGGTTCACTGGAAAGTGATTGAATTATTAATAAAAACATGAGCCAACATCATTGCATTTCTTACTAAACAAACACAGCGATGTCTATTAGATAGTGTGTAATGTAACTGATCAATAAATATTTCATAGATTTTGTTGGGCTCCTAGTAAGGACTGGCTAAAGTTGGAGGATAGATTCTGGCTGTAGGAAAAGATTAGAGACTCCAATTGGTCATGTTGTGAGTCATGTGGAAGGCCATGAAGACTTCGGACTGATTGATATGTAGATGATAGTCACCAGGAACCACAGAACAGCCACAGAACCACATAGATAGAAGGTGTGAAGGGAAGAAGGGCCACAAGAACATGTTTTTGGCCTTTGAGTGAAGTACCAAGTGCTTAGTACAAAGTAGGTGCTTGACTCAACATCATACCAGGCAAGTTAAGCATAAATCATGAAGGCAAAGTGGGGCCTTTGAAGTTTATAAGGACATGGCCTTTTAGAGGGGACAGTTGCCACTTTGGGGCCATTTTGCCAAATCATCTCATTTTTCAAGAGAAGTTAGAAGCTTAGATTTTTATGTAAATATTCATAATTTCTAAAGCAACTATTAATAGTTTATATGAATAGTTCATAGGCTGCATTTTGGGAAATATCTACCTCAATGAATCTGAAGATAAAGAAGCAAGTTCTGCAAGCCAGGCCTCAAACACAAGGGAGCAGCATGCTAGAATTGGAGTATAAGATGGAGACTTGATTACAGGACAGTTGACTGAACTGGGACATGGGGTCAGTACAGAAATAACAGCAGTTTGACTTAATGCTGAATTATCTGAACTTGTGAACTAGAGCTCCTTAAATCTTCCTGATCAAAATTAGTTTAGGGACAAACAGGGGATAGGCTTAAGCTTTCTGACTAGAATCAAGCAATCTCCACTGTGGAAAGTTCAGGAAGGGGCTCTATGGAGGGAAACAAAGTAATGCATTAAAGTCACTGGATATCTGCTACATTATTGGTCATTCTTCCTATTTTCCCAGTGTATGCCCAACAGTGTTTTAAGCACTTAACAAATATATACAATTCCATCTTTATAACAATTCTATGAAGCATAATCTGTTAATTTTTATGTTGGAAAAATTGGAGCACTGAATCACAAGGAGGTTAAGTATCTTGCTGAATTATTCTTAGCAATAAGTAGAGTGAAGAACAAATAAAAAGCTCTACTATTGTATCAAGACTTCTTAACTCCCAGCATGCTGCAGTTGATGTTCCTTCCTTCCCTTGTAGTCAGGCTCTCAACTACAGAACAAAGCTGGCTTACACATTACCACCACATAGAAACTTGATTAGTGACAACTTGTCAAGAGGCTCTAGTTTCCTCAGGATAGGGAGCCATATATTAAGGAATTTCATATTCTAAAAAGTCTGCTTGGTACATGAGATTTGACAAAGCAGAAAAGCAGTGTGTTCTACTTTCCTTTCTATTTATGTGATAAAACACTGACCAAAAGCAACTTGAGGAAGGGATTTATTTGGTTTACCTTCCACGCCATGATCCATTTTGGAAAGAAGTCAGGCCAGGAACTCAAGCAGGAAGTTGAAGCAGAAACCACAGAGGAATGTTGATAACTGATTTGCTCCCCACCCCCCATCTCATGCTCTTCTATCATTCTTATGTAGCCCAGGTCCACCTGCCTAGGGATGACATCATCCATAACAGACTGGGCCCTTCTGCATCAATTATCAATCAAGAAAGCTCCTTACAGTTATGACCACAGGCCCATCTGATCTGAGCAATCCCTCAACTGAGGCTCCCTCAGATGATGCTAGGTTGTGTCAAGTTGGGAGCTGAAGCTAAGGTGGACACTGTGCTTTGTAGAAGTAGACATGAGTCACAGAGGCTTGATTTTGCAAATGGGATCACTTTCTTGTAGTCAATAGATATTATTTCAAAGGTTTCTGTGAGGATTCTCATGGCTTCCCTGGGAGATGCTGCCATGTGAAAATGACTTTTCAGTAGAATCCAAATAAAGATCTTACACAGACATGCTCAATTGATATCCTAACTGATTAGCTAGTACAATCAGTCACATACTGAAGTGGCAAAGCTGGCTCCATTTTGTTCTAGCTGACTTGCTTTTTCTGTCTCTGCCAAGCCGCTCCCACTGCAGTCAGTCAGTCACGAAGGCTACACCTATAGTTTCAGGGGGTACATTGTTTCTAGAATACTGGGAAAGTTCCAATGAGCAGAGTAGCAGCACATCCTCTTACCCAGATATACCCGCATCTCCATGGGGTCCATTGTTTCTGCATTACTGAGAAACTTGTTTTTCCTAACTGAAGCTTTTTGTTAACTGAAAACCTTTGTTAATTGACCTTCCCCTAGTCTGGTGTAACTACAGTGATCTAACGTAACTGTTGTTATTGGCTTTGCCCCTGGAATGATGTAATTGTAGTTTTAAATGTTATAAACCCCACTCTGCCTCCCCCTCAGAGTGGAGAACTATTTTGAGCATTAGTCCCCTCTCGACCACCAGCTAATAAAGGACTCCTAGTTCCACCATCACTCTGTGGCCTTCCTCTGTGCCTCATGCTCCATAGTACACATATAACGACTGTCCAAATTTCCTCTGTTCTCCTAAATATCATGTCTGTACCTGACCTTTAGTAGTCACTGAACTTTTTCTTTTTCAATTTAATCCCCACCTTTTTGATACTTAATGCAAACTTCTCTGTGATTTTCTAAGTGTAAGATATTTGGAGAGGTGTGCTGAGCAGCTTGGTGTGATAAAAACATAACAATTTTCATGGTAGTATGGTCCTAAGCCAGAAGCATATTAATTTCACTTAATCTTTATGAGCATATATGAATCTGCAAGACATAAATTAAAGTACCTACCTCAGAGGATCTTATGAAAAATCATATTTTATATACATAATCATGCATTTTAAAACTTCTAATTGATAGCAGTGTGTGTGCTTTCTGATTGAAATACAGATGTATAAAGTAACACTTGCTAAACTCTGGGAAAATGGTAAATATGTATATCTACCTCCAGATAGATTAAATGTGAATGTGTTACCTATTGAAAATGGCAGATTTTAGTGCATAGCCATTCGTATGATGTCTTTGGTACTTTGTGCAGTCCCAACTCTCCCTTTTTTCCTGACATACTTGGTAACCTTGACCAAATCACTGTTCCTTACACAGTCTATTTTCTATTTTCTCAGTCCCCAGTGTTCTAAACTTTGTTTTCTTCTTTCTTATGTTCTACTTGCTCACATAATTTCAACTCTATTTAATGAAAAAATGACTTCAGAGTTCCCCAGGGTATTTTTGTCATGTTGCATAAGAACATTTCCTTCTTAAAAATATTACCTGAATGACAAGTTTCAGCTTGTATATTGAAGTTCTCCTCAGAAATAATTTCATTATAAGTAAATGTACTAATTTTGCTGATGAGTAGATTTGATTTTTGGATGTAAATGGTTCTAATGGAAATGGCTCCTTGGCATACATGCAAAGGGCAATTGGAGTGAAAAAAATGTTTAGAGCCAATGGAGATTTTTATGTAAGCACCTAGGAAAAGCACAAAAGATACTTAAAACAATTTCTGATTTTCAAAATGTAAATTATGGGACATTAGAGTTATGCCATTTAGTGAAGAGTTCTCTGAGGTTCTTAGTGCCTTAAAAGCCTAGTTATATGCAGAATCACCACATTTTAAGGTTAGGTAGGACTTTGCAGATGGCGTAGCCCAGCCTCACATGCAAAGCATGAGTTTCCATATAAAAAATTAAAACCACTGACAAAGAAGCATTGAAAAAGAGAACATTTTCCCTTTTCACAGCTCTGATTTCTACTTTTTACTCAGTCTTCATATTTCTTTGTTTTCCTCATTATATATTGAATGCTTTTTTATGTCAAGAACCAAAAGTGCTATGTTCTTAAGAATTTCAGAGTCAGTGGAGCGTCTCTGTAACCTTCATGTCTGATTTCCTGAAGGTTACCTTAATCAAGTAGTAACATGCCACCCTCCTGGAACTCTGTAGTCATCTGGTATGTAGCCACTTCTAACATACATCTTCCTTTCAATAGACATGTCAGAGTTAATGCTGAACAATGTCCAGGCAACCCATAGTCTTTCTGCTTTCTAAGAATGAATTTAAAGATCCTAGAATGTCCTTCATTCCCTCTAACTTATCTAGTGTTAGTTTGATAGGTTCTTAATTTTTTAAACAAATTTTCTGGAAATGCATTATGGAAAAAAGAATATTTTAAAATCAAGTGTTTTCAATTCCAATTAGTAACTTGGAGATCAGTTACTGAAAACCTCTCTCATAGGTATAATAATTCTAGCTCAGCAAGTAAATGGCAAAGTTTTGCCTAACATTTACCATTAAATCACATTTTTGGTGTATAACATCCATGAGATCAGTGGCATACAGCAATAGGCATTTATCTCCTGCCCAGATTTATTGCTTTATCTGCCAAGCACCAGGTTGGCTGGATTATCTCCACTTCACATGTTTTACTGTACACTCAGTAAGTGGAATGATGACTTCCCTGGCTATGCCACTCACAAATGATGCTTAAAGCACCAGTTTAGAGCCATCCATCAAACCTAGAGAGCCTCTGCTTACGTTGATCATACTCAGTCCATTACCACACTCAGGGTGAGGGAAGGACGGAATATACACTGAACAATAAACTAATGCACCATATTAAGGCCTTACTT